TTTTTATTCAAATGATGCAATGCGTGTTGTTTTAAATAGCAAGTTATTTTATACAAATGTCGATGTTCAATTTATATTCGATTTGCGTTTTAATCGTGGAGGGAATATTCTTTTTAGACAAGAAATAGAAGAGATAGTCTTCCCGTCGGATGATGAGCGAATCTCGATATTTCTTTTCGAATTAAAGGATTTTCCCTAATAATTAATTCGAAGCAAATTAATTAAACTTTAATAAATGGATCATATTTTGACTTTATATTCGATTTATAATTTCCACCATTACGACAATGTATAAGCGACTAAGTACCAATTTTGGGCGTTGTGGGGGTGTTAATTATTCCCCACGCGTAATCGACTCTCGGACCCGTTAAATCGGATTTTTGGTAAATGCAGAACAATTTATGTCTTAAAAAATGATTTTTTCTTAAACTTGTTTTAAAAGACGTTTTTAGGTATTCAACCTACCTAACCCAAAGGTCAATGATGACTCTCATTCAAACTAATTCAAAATCGCCAATTTTTCAAATATTATCATAATTGTTTTTTAAAATGATGTTTAATTGTTTTAAAAAAATGGTTATGACATCATTAATATATTTTTTATAACTATTAACACAAGAAAAGTTTAAATATAGTCTTTTAATACTTTAACATAAACCTTTCTTGAAATTTTAATGATCAGTTTCTTAAGAGTAATGTGTCTCTTGAAGAATAAGGTGACAGAATAATTTGATGCAAAGATAATGCCGATTTTATCTTCTCGAATATTTTCATCAGAGTAAACAATAGTCGAAATACGCCTCATTTTGAGAGTTTGAAAGATTGAAAGTCGTATATCTGCAAAAAAAAGAATAATTGTTTCTAATACATGATCATTCTCCTAATTAAATAGATAATATACGAATTAAAATATAAATTAATACTAAAAATAAAAAAATATTCAAAATAATTTAAATAACTCAATTTAATATTGTTACCATATCAACAAAATATATCGAGATATAATCTCCCCTTCCATTTTACAACTGCAAAAAGTAATAAAAAATAATACAATAAATTTTGTTCAAATAAATTAAATATGAAATATATATAATATAATGAAAAATAATTGTACTTTCTAAAAATTGTAACAAAATCTACTTGATGGAAGGAATTTATAGAAGGAAGAATGTGAATGCAATTTTGATATGGTTTGATATTTGGATTTGGGGTATTTATAGGGGGAGGGGATGGGTCGTCCGGGATTTAAGGCAACTGTGGTAATAATAGAAATGGCAATAATTGAGGGGGAATAATCGAATGCACGCTTCATGTTCTGCGTCAGCTCGGACAGAACCTTCAGGAAGGCGTGCTTCATGATCTGCGCCTTTCGTCCACGTCTGCAAGGCGCGTATCCTGAAACACGTTTTATTATCACTCTGTCATAATGGGTGCTAGATCGATAATATTTGGAGAAAGGGTGCTTCACAGGTAATTATTGATTGTTTGGGTGATTTTTGGGTAAAAATGTCGATGGGTCTGAGATTTAAGGCAACTGCGGTAATAATAGAAGGGACAATAATTGAGGGGAATAATTGAAGGCGCGCTTAATGATCTGCACCTCCCTGACGTGTTAGAAAATCCCGCAAAGGCACATATTATAATACGCGCTTTTCCATCATGACACTAGCTTAGACGAAACCCTAGGAAGGGGAACTTTTGATCCATGGAGATTATTATTATTATTATTTTTTTTGAAGAAGAAGATGGAGGAATCTAGTTGTCCTCTTCTTTTAATTCGTATAAATGTTCAAAATACACCAAAAATTGTGTTTTCTCCTGATCAAAACTAATTTGTTACTACCAAAAATGGTATTATTCACTCGTTTACGCATTTCCATAATGTCAATACTTTGAAACCTGGATCATGAAATTCCTTCAATATCCCATAATAACAATAATTGAAATAATCATCATACAAATATTTCTCTTTAGGCTTCTTTATAAATTAGTCCAATTATATCTTTTCAATTTCAGATTCAATCCCAATTTAAATTGTCTTTTAATCGAATTAATAATAATCTTTTCAAAAATAGAGGTACTATAATTTTTCTCCATAAAAAAAATTTGTCCTGGAATTCTTAATTATAATTAATATGGATATTACTCTAATCAAACAGTATTCTAATCATTAGCGGGGTTGATAAGTGGTAAGTAGTTTGATATCGTTCAAGTAAAATCTCGAATTCGAAATCTTGTATATGTAAAAAAATCTCTGTTAACATGGTCATCCACGAAAACTAGATGTACGATACGAATCGATTTGGAATAATCAATACAAAATTCATAAAACCGGAAGAACAGCCACAACAAAAAATAACGCTAAACCAACCCTTGAATAACTCTTGATTATTTATACTAGGATTGCTTGTTTTGCTCGTCTATGAAATAATAAATCTTTTGCTTTAGTTGGTTGCTAATTTTTCATTTTCTTTAGAGTTCAGCCGAGATTATTGATTAGCTTAGTTGTATATACACCCAGTTTTCAATCAACTTTACTTCTGGATTTGGTTGATGTTTTCACTTTTATCTTCTGGTGGCAGGGTTCAGTTCCGTCATCACTGGCTCATATGATAATTATCACAGATAGATTAAAGAGTGGCTAGAGTAATCGTTCCCATAAAATTCTTAAAATTATTTACATTTTATAATCTTTTATGTATCTTTTATTGATAATTTACTTTTATCCTCATGAAATTTTATAAGATTATTTTCTCAAAAATTTATAAATTCATCTCTTAATATTAAATTATACGCCCGTCCTTGTAATAACCCAGGCCGTTGCTAATATAAAACATATGTCTGTAAACAAGAGAAGACTCGTCGAAGCAGATTCTTTTGATGGGTCTAGCATTGTTAGGCCCTTCAGTGCTGCAAGATTTCTTTGTCGGACACTACATGTTAAAACAGACCGGTATAATGATACAATTGTTCAGAATATTCTTAAAAGAGACTTATGCAAGATCCGAGATGCCCAACAAGTAGTTAACATGATGAGTTGTTGAGATTTATACAAGTTTTCTTTGTCCTTTTTGCTAATTTTTTCACGAATCAACTTACCTCAATAGTTAAAGAAATCGTTGTTGTTTCTAGAGATCATGAATTTGAACACTAGCAATAGCAATAGCACCGTGATTGAGCATTTATTGTCAAATAGAACAATTTCTTCAATTGATCAATGATGAGGTATTTTGATTTTTTTTCCTTTGATCAATGAACATTTAAGAAATAATAATAAATTGATAAAATTTAGATAAAAAGGCATCAGAGGCCTCGAACTTTAAAAAAAATCAATATGGCCCATATTGTTTTTTTATCAATATGGCCCTCAAATTTGAAAAAAAAACACTCAATGTGACCCTTTGACCAATATTAACAAACGAAACCGTTACTTTTGACTGACGTGGCACGTTTTTTGTCCGTTTAATGCTGGAAAAAAATGAAAGAAAAATAGTGTCCAATCGGAAACCAATCATCGGTGACTACCGCCGCCACCGCCTCCGCCTCCAGTGGTCATCGTGAACAAAGGAGCACGGTCGGACCGTTTTGCCCCCCCCCCGAAGGTGAATTCATCATCCGTTTTCCCAAAAACCGCCCTGATCATTGTAAATCTACAAAAATAATCTTCGGCTGTTGTAGGTGTCATTTACGATCTTTGTCGCCCGCTGTTAGATGAAGTTGCCTCCACAGTGAATATTCACGCCTCGATTCACGACATTCCCAACGACCATTGGTAAATCCCAATGGTAAAGATGTTACCCACGACGGTGGGACCAACATACTGTGGAGGCGATTTCATCCAACTATGGGCAGCAGAAATTGGAGAGATGACACCCACAACGATCGAAGATTATTTTCGTAGATTTGCGATAATCGAGACAATTTTTGGGAAAACTGACAATAGATTCGACTTTGGGGGACCAAAATGGTCCGACCTTGCTCTTTTATTCGCGATAACCACCGAAGGCAACGGCAGCGACAGTCATTGACGATTGGTTTTCAATTTCACATTTTTTTTCTTTTTTTTTCAGCATTAAACAAACGGAAAACATACCACGTCAGTAGAATTTAACAGTGTCGTTGGTCAACAACGGAAAACGTTAGTCACGAGGCCACATGGAATTTTTTTTAGTTAGAAGGTCACATTGATAAAAAAACCGATAGGGGCCACATTGATTTAAAAAACCGATAGGGGCCACATTGTTTTTTTTTTACGTTCAAGGACCTTTGATGTCTTTTTGTTTAGAATTTATAAAATGCATAGTTAATATATTATTACGTTAGTTTAAAATTTATCACACCATCTATTTAGTTAAAAAATAGTGGCAAATAACAAAAATGATCAAAATTTATAAGTTCAGTTATAAAGTTGAAAAAAGTCTAACATTTGGAGTGGTGTAAAAGGTTAAAAGAAATTTTATTCCTCTTTAATAACTTGATTTGAGCAGAGTAATCGATAAATTTAAATCTTTAAAACTATATATATAGTTTAAGTGTTTAAAGTGATTACGTATAATTATTTAAAAAGTTAGAGTTAAAAACATAATTAGGAAATATTTAAGATAAAGTACATGAATGAGATTCGACTATTCATATGTTCCAAACTCGTCTTTTTCTATTAAAAAATTGATGACAATCTAAGTTGGATGTTAGCATGTTGATTTTTAGAATCAGATTTTATCATATCGTATTCAACAAGTTAATGTTTAAATGAGACTACCATCATTTTTTTAATAAAAAAATGAGTTTGGAACATATAAATAATTAAATGATTATTTTATAACTTTTAATAGTCGAGAGATTCAACAAAATAATATATTATAATCAAAATATTATTTTATAAATTTTAATAGTAGGGAAATATTTGTTTACTTTACCCAATATTTTTTTAGTTTAAACTTTTCATTTAAGCAACCATTTTTATAGTTTATGCTGCTAAAGTTGAGGTTCCAATAAAAAAAATGGAAAATCAAAAACCTCAACCACCCCATGTCGTCTTCTTGCCCTTTCCGGCGCTGGGCCATATCAAACCGATGCTCAAACTAGCAGAGCTTCTCAGCCACGCCGGTCTCCAAGTCACCTTCATCAACACCCAACACATCCACCACCTTCTCCTCCCTTCCATCGACACCGACGCCCTCTACCGCCGCTTCCCTAACTTCAACTTCTTGTCCATCCCCGACGGTCTCCCCCCTCACCATCCACGCACCTTCTTAAACATCTTCCCATCTATAAGCTCCGCCACCGTAACTGCACTATGTCATATGTTGGTTTCTGATCTCAGCTGCACAACCACCACCTGCATCATAGCAGATGGGATAATGTCTTCTTCCGTCGTAACTGCTGGTGAAGAATTCGGGATCCCTGTTTTGGCGTTCCGCACGTTTAGTGCTTGCTGCACCTGGGCTAACTTTCACTTGTCGAAACTCATTGAAGAAGGGGAAGTTCCACTGCAAGGTTAGCTTAAGCCTTGTTGACTTTTTATCGATGATATATAATATAGATTTTGCTTCCTTTAATCATATACATATGTGTATTGTTTTTGCTGGTAAAGACATGGATAAGCTGGTGACTTGCATTCCAGGATTAGAGAATGTTTTAAGGTGTCGAGATCTTCCAGGAATTTGCAGGTACGGGAGTTGACTAAACAAGAACCGATCAAATTAAATGAAATTATGGCAGTTGGATTGATTTATTCATAATAAACTTCGATTTGGTTAACGAATGCAAATAATTAGATTAATGGAAGTCCGATTGGTCTATTGCCCGAAACTGGATCGACCGATTCATTGTACTATTTGCAGGGTTGAGAGAGCTGAGGATCCAATCCTGGAATTCTTTATCAACGAGGCCAAAGCCATGCTGCGAGCATCTGCTCTCATACTAAACACCTTCGATGAACTCGAAGCTCCCATCATTTCTAAACTCAGCTCTTTGTTCCCCAAAATCTACACGATCGGCCCTTTGCATGCTCTCTCAAATGTCCGTATCAACGTCAACGACGACCCATCCCCTTTAGCATCATCATCAACAAGTATTCTGTGGAAAGAGGACAAAGATTGCATCACTTGGCTCCATTCCCAACCATCGAAATCAGTCGTCTTCGCCAGCTTAGGAAGCATAGCGAGCTTGACGCAAGAGCAAATACTCGAGTTCTGGCATGGGTTGGTCGACAGCGGGAAATCATTTCTGTTGGTCATACGACCCGACTTAATCATTGGAGAAGACAGTAGTGGTAATTCGGCTCAACTCTTGACGGACCTTCAAGAAAGGACCAAAGGTAAGGGAATGATAGTGAGTTGGGCACCTCAAGAACAGGTGTTGTCTCACCCAGCCGTCGGAGGGTTCTTGACTCACGGCGGATGGAACTCGATCTTGGAAAGTACGCATGCCGGAGTGCCGATGATTTGTTGGCCTGTAATATCGGACCAACAAGTGAATAGCAGGTTCGTGAGTGAGGTTTGGAGAGTGGGTTTGGACATGAAAGACAGATGTGAGAGAGGAGTGGTGGAGAAAATGGTGAGGGATTTGATGGAAGTAAAGAGAGATGAAATCATGAAGGTGATGGATGGGGTTGCAGAGCAAGCACGGAAGAGTGTTGAAGAAGGTGGTTCGTCTTATCGGAACCTGGAGTTATTGATTCAAGAAATTAGGTCCATGACTACTTTGATTTAACTCCACAATTACGATAAATTATTTTATGATCTTCTAAGCAATGAATGATCTTCAAGAATATGGTTGCACCCTCCAACATCATTCTCGATCCATTGTTGTATGGTCACTTATATTTTCTCATGTACGTTTGTTGATTTCCGTAATGATTGACGATATACAATTGCTTGATTCAAAATTTAGAGTAGAATTTAAAGGTTAGGGATTGGTGGCTTCAAAATTTCAGTTAACCAATTAAACCGATATAACTGAATTTTTTAGATAATTGGTCGGTCAACGGTTAATGATTTTTTTCAAAATTCGATTATCGGTTAATTCGATTCAAAATCTGTTAGTTAACCGAATTAATAAAAAAATTTTAAATATTTAATATATTATTTATATAATAATAGCTTTAGTAGTTTTTAAATTTTGGTTCCAAATTAATCGATTGAACTAACCAATCGTATTAACTGAATTAGCCAGAAATATTAAATATTTAATATATAGTATATATTATTTAAAATTTAGGTTAATTCAATTAACCCACTGATTAACCGAACTTTATTTGATTCGATTAATTATTTTTTTAAAAAATTCGGGTAATAAAATTTTGAAAGTTGGATTCAGTTAGCTGGCCGATCGAACACCCAGGAATAGCATAAAGAAAATGTCTTTGTCATTTACATACGTGTTTGGAATGAGAGTTAATAATTTCTGTTTTGTTAGGATTAAAAGTCGTACAAGAAAAAGGAAATAAAGTAAAAGAAATGAAAATTAAGGAAACTAAATGATTATAAATATATTGTCGGATTCGTTGAAATTATGGAAGTGAAGGATATATAAACGAATCTTATAGTGGTTCCCTTAGTACTATTACGTTGTTAAAGTATGTTAACGAATAGTGTAGTGGTTCCCTTTGTACTATTATATTCCTTAAACTTATTAGAATGAGTAAAGAAAGCTGAAAATCTTGAACAAAGTTTCTTAACTTTTCATTAACAGTACATGGTTTATATACACAGTAACTAACTTCACAAGCTGGTAATCTGGTATAACAGAATACTAACAAACTAACTGCACTACATTACACATACACACAACAGATTACTTCAACAGCTCATTCTAGATTCATTCTAAAACATTTACTTCAATATCCCCCCTACTTTTTCTCTTCTCAACTTCAAGAAACGACAACACACCAAGCCTTTGTCTGAACTGAGCAAAACTATCTCTCGTTAGTGCTTTAGTAAGCCCGTCTGCTACTTGATGTTCAGAAGGTAAAAAGTTCACTTGAAGCTTTCCTGCAGCCACTCGTTCCCTCACGAAGTGTATGTCTAACTCCACATGCTTTGTCCTAGAGTGGTGTATTGGATTAGCACTCATGGAAATTGCACTGGTGTTGTCACCCCACGCCACTGAAGCAGTTTGAACTGGAACTTTCATATCAGTTAGCAATGCTTCAAGCCAAACGACATCAGAGGTGGCATCGGCTAGGCTCCTGTACTCAGCCTCTGTGGTGGATCTCGAGACTATCTTTTGTTTCTTTGAAATCCACTGAACCATGCTACCACCTAGGAAAACACAGGTGCCTGATATGGACCTTCTATCATCAACATTACTTCCCCAATCTGCATCAGCAAAAGCCACAAGCTGAAACGGTTCTGTTCTTGGCAAACACACCAAGCCATAATCGAGTGTCCCCTTAAGGTATCTCAGCACCCATTTGACAGCCACCAAGTGTTGTTCACATGGTGTATGCATAAACTGTGCTAGCTTATTCACACAATAAGCTATGTCTGGCCTTGTATGACAAGCATACAATAAGGACCCAACTAAACTTCGATATTCCCTTGCATTTTCTAACAAACTGCCTGCACCGTTACTTGAAAGTTAAATCGATGCAACCATAGGAGTTGAAGTTGCTGTGGCCTTACTCATTCCTGACTTATCTAGCAGTTCCATTATATACTTCTTCTGACTAAGGAACACTGCACCATCAACACCCTTAACTTCAATTCCAAGAAAGAAATTAAGCTTACCCAAGTCTTTGAGTGAAAACTTTTCTCCTAGCAACTTCACAACTTGTTCGATATCCTCATTTTTGCCTCATGTAACAATGATATCATCAACATAGGCTAAGACATACGTGTTAGTACAATCACTATGTTTAATGAACAATGAGTTATCTGCACGAGAACTTTGAAACCCCAAGTCCACCAGAAAAATTTTCAGCTTGGAGTACTAATTCCTTGGTGCTTGCCTCAATCCATACAAGGCTTTCTGTAGCTTGCACACCAACCCTTTTCCATCTCCAGCCTGTTATTCAAAGCCTTGAGGTTGTTCCATGAACACCTCTTTATTTAATTCGCCATTCAAAAACTTATTGTTAACGTCTACTTGCCTTAGACTCCAACCATTACGAGCAGCAATTGTCAACACAACATTTACTGTTGACATTTTTACGACAAGGCTAAATGTTTCTTGAAAATCCTGACCAGGCAATTGTGAGAATCCTTTAGCCACGAGTCTGGCTTTATATTTTTGTATCGGGCCATCAGCATTATGCTTGACTCGAAATAGCCACTTACAGCCAACAACAATCCTTCCTTCTGGTAGAGGGACAATCGACCACGTATTATTCCTTTGAAGTGCTTCATATTTAGAAAGAACAACTGCCTTCCACAATGGATTCTTGAAAGCTTCATAAATATTTTGAGGTTCAACCTCATTTATATCGTTGCTATTCTGACATGCAGATTAACCACTAATAGTTGAGGATTACATCTTGGGTTTGAACACTCCATTTTTTATGCGTGTAACCATGTGGTGACGTGTAACTGGTAGTAACGTCTCATGCTGACTATGACTACTTTAACCATTATCGCTCGATCCTTCATTAGCCTGATTCGACATAGAGGTATCTGCAACATTTGAACTCTGTTGTTCAATCTCATCTACTGCATTATTTCCTGACATTACAGGCTGTACATCTACTTCATGACTAGCAACTTCAGGCATATTCATATTGTTAAAGGAGTTGGACCCTGATACATCAGCACTGGTTACATGGTTATCACCGTGTGATTCTTCTCTCATGCAGACACGTTGAGCACCATTTACTATAGGAAATTGTACACTACTCTTACGTAACGTACACTTGCATCCAGTCTTGTTTCCTGATGTTGCAAAGGGAAAGAATTCTTCATCAAAAGTAACATGGCGTGAAATAAATAGTCGACCGTCCGAGTTCATACATTGGTAACCTTTGTGCTGAGTACTATATCCCAAGAACACGCACTGAGAGGATCGATAGGTAAGTTTGTGAGCATTATATGGCCGTAAATAGGGAAAGCAACGACAACCAAAAATTCTAAGATAGCTATAGTCTGGTTTCTTGGAGAATAACACCTCGTATGGGGATTTGTTTTGAAGAACTTTTATAGGCAATCAATTGATAAGGTGCACAGCAGTGCATACTGTATACGACCAGAACTTAAATGGAATTGAAGCTTGAGCCATAAGAACCAGTGCTGACTCAATTATGTGTCTGTGTTTTCGCTCGACTACACCGTTTTGCTCGGACGTTTGTGGACATGCTAGACGATGCACCACACCTAGTGACTTAAGCCAAGTGGAGACTGATCGATACTCACCTCCCCAATCACTTTGAACTTCTTTTACAGTGGCATTGAATTGAGTTCGTATCAAGCTGAAGAACAACTGGAAAGTTGGCAGAACCTGGTCCTTGGTTTTAAGCAAGTAAACCCAACTATGTCTCGTGCACGCATCAATGAAAGAGACATAATACCTATATCCAGTGGAGGCTATGTGTGTTGGACCCCATACATCACTGAAAACTAGGTAAAACGGCGTGGTATATACTATTTGAGATTGATTGAATGACAATTTATGGCTTTTACCCAATCTACATGCAACACATAACGAATTGTAAACCATATTATTTCTAGGAAACATTACACCAACTTATTTACATGCTTGCACAAGACATGATGAGCAGGATGCCCAAACTCTCGTGCCAGAGATCATACTTTTTATTGCTACTACAAGAATCTTCTACCATCATGGATGACAAGCTTCCAAGCACTCTGCATTTGTTATGAACTGATAAAGGCATGCATGCTCTTGTCCTTTTAGCAACACCACTTTAGTCATTTCATCCTTAACCAAGTACGACCCCGCATGAAACTCAAAGAACACCTTATTATCTCTAGCAAACTTTGACACAGAAAGAAGGTTTTGGTTACTGAGGGAACATGCAATAAATCATTAAGAACCAGTGCACGAGAATAGTAGTCATGGATGAAGAGCCATATATAACAGTGTATTTTTTCAGTACCTTCACTTTTGTCAGCCAACACCTGGAAACGTCTGATCAAAGTGATGCCAGCAACGATCGACCGAGTGTCCATTTTTTTCACACAGTTAACATTGTAACCGAGGACGGCCACGACCACGCCCTGTAGGTTTGTTACTCCTGTTATAACTGCCAGTTCCATTCCCGTTGTAGACCTGAGCTGTAGACCTACTATTTTCACGAGTGTTTGCACGAACAGTAGCTACATTCGCACTCATAAAAGGGATTGTTGCAACTGAAAACCACTCAATTGTGACTCAGCATCCATTAAGACTGTTTGACATTGTCAACAGAGAACATATCTTGCTCGTAGTAATCACAGCCACAAATGGTTGATATTCAACCGAAAGTCCATTTAGAATGGAAGCAATCTGTTCAAGTCCGAGATCGCACTCCACACGCTGCAAGCGCATCACACACTTCTTTAATCTTTGTAAGATATAGCCTCATGTTGTCATCACCTTTCTTAATAGATCTGAGTATACAATGTAGACTCATCACAGTCGTAGTTAACGATTGACAAAGAACTTCTGAACCGTTCACCACACATCAGCTGCTGTCTCAGCTCCTACAAATGAGGGAGCAAGGGATCACTGATTGTAGACAGCAACCAGGATGCAAGAGCACTATCCTGAGCAACATAGGT